ATGTGGGATCCGAACCCTCGGGCAGGAGCGCCGCCGCGCTTCCCAAGCGGCGCACTATCCAGTGCGCCACCGGGCCGGCCCCAGTAATTGATCCTTTTCCTTACCTCTTCAGGCCTAGGAATTGTAATGGCTATGCTAGATCTGAACTGCACTCTCCGATATGGTAGCTCTTAGCAACATGTGGCTATTTAAGCAAATTAAAAGTAAAATTAAGAATTTAATGGTTTAGTCACCACATTTTAAGTGCTCAATAGCCACATATAGTCATATGTGGCTACCATATTAGACAGTGTAGATGTAGAACATTTCCATTGCAAAAAATCTACTAGACACTGTTGAGGTGCTTTACCATCTTGACTTGTTTTCCCTTAACCATGCTCACCTCTTGTAACTGGTATCTTCATAAACTCCTCAATTATCCCCTTTGGAGGAGTACTCAGTATGGACTGATGCTGGATCACAGTTTCATTAACAGAACATCTGTTTCCTGGTGAGGATTGTGACATCAATGAAATATATCTTAGCTATTCATCCTTAAAATTTGAACCTTAATTTGTCATCTAAATTGTGCATAGCTTGTGAAATTCACATTCAAAAGATAGTGGCTTTGAGGCTGGCTCGTGGCTCACTCGGTAGAGTGCGGTGCTGATAACACCAAGGCCATGGGTTCAGATCCTATATAGGGATGGCCGGTTTGCTCACTGGCTGAGCTTGGTGCTGACAACACCAAGTCAAGGGTTAAGATCCCCTTACCGGTCATCTTTTAAAAAAAAAAAAAAAAGATAGTGGCTTTGGTGTTACCAAAGTGGTATTTCTTGTTACTCTTCAATCCCTGGAAACCTTAATAGTATCTTGAGATTCTACAAGTATCAAGATGATTATTATTAACTATCACTGTTGACATCTTTTTTTTCTTTTAAAGATGACTGATGAGGGTGACTTGGTGTTGTCAGCACCACACTCTCCCAAGTGAGCTAACCGGCCATCCCTATATAGGGATCCGAACCCTTGGCCTTGGTGTTATCAGCACCACACTCTCCCAAGGGAGCCACGGGCCGGCCCTAATGTTAATGTCTTGATGGACTTAGTATGGCACACAATCCTTTTTCTCTAAATATTTTATTAAGTTTGTATATGAATGAACGTGAAAGGTGATTAATGTAAAAACTGAGTAGCGAATAGAAACCTAAGTGTGTGGAGAGGAAAATGTTAGCTCTGTTAGATGAATGCTCTGAGAAGAAGACAAGATGAATAAAGGGTTGTAGACTAACTTTAGCTTTCCTGAGACTTTATAAAAGAGCCCTTTCTGGGTAAGTCATTGGTTACAGCTAGGAGTGAGTCTTGGAAAGGGCTGACCACAGCCAGGCAGGCATCTGGCAAGGCTATCAGTGGGCTAGTTATTAGGTAATTGGCAGAAATATGATCAGCTGGCGAGGGAATGCTGTTGTGTATTTCCTCTTTCTAAGTTCACCACAGCCTACCCCCAGTGTTGAGCAGATCAAAACAGAACACTACTAGCTCAGTTGTTTAGAGCACGGTGTTGTGACACCAAGGTTAAGGGTTCAGATCCCTGTACCAGCAAGCCATTACAACAAAAAACAAACAAAAAAACCAGAACACTATGAAATGAGTATTGTAGTGTCAGAATTCTAACCTAGATCTGACTCCAAAACCCGTGTTACACCTTTAATTATGCTACCACTGAGATCATGCCATCAACTATTATTTCATTACTTTTGGGGGAAGAAAAGGGTGAGGGAAGGTCATCAAGAGCATGTGAATGTGTGCAGATATAAATTAGTAGTGCAGTAGTACCTATTCTCTTGAGCACTTCCCAGTACGGCGCATTATGAGTAATTGGGCTTGTTCTACCTAGAGAAATTACCCACATTTGCTATAAGTGATTACTAGATTAAGCATGCCCTCCACCTCTAATCATATATATGCATCATGCTCAGCTAAGGAATTATTCATCTCTCAAGCTCTACTCATTAGAGCACTTAAAAGTTTTGTCAGCAAATTTACTCTGTGCCTTTGGAGGAGTACTCTGTATGGACTGGTGCTGGATCACAGTTTCATTAACAGTAATCTGCAGCAGTTGAAGAAGTAGGCCAGATTGAGAACTGAAGTTGGGCGATAATTTTTGCTTCTCCATTTCATCTTTGAGTATTTTTGTTCTAAAATTCTAGTATGGAACTCTAGGTAATTATGAGAGTTAATGAACAGGTCTCTTTCTCTTTTAGTGATTGTATTTTTTTACTAAACAAAAACCTAGTTAAGGAGGGAAAAGAATTTCTTATTTTGAATCTACTCTGGGTCAGGGTCTCAAAAACAGTATATCATACTAGTGAGGATACAGAAATAAGGTTAAGAACAACTGTTCTAGGATATGTTCTTAAAAGGCCAGTGCTGTCACTTCTTTTTCACACTTTCTGAATTTTATTTTATTTTATTTTATTTATTTTTTGATTTGTTTTGTGTTTTGTTTTTGTCTTGGCAGCTGGCCAGTTGTACTTTTTGAATTTTACAACTGCATTTTTCTTCTTTCTGCAGCTTTAATCCTTCCTAGTGATCTTCAGGTTGGTGGCATATATCAGATAATTTACGGTGCCCAGGCATTTCCTTGGTCTTCTCTTTCAGTGATCTCACACCTTGAAGTCCTGGCTTATTTCGTATGCATTTTTTGTGATCCCAAACCCAACCTCAAGCATCCCATGCCTGTTCTGGGACTCATCCAACATGGCATCTTCTGGAAAACACTTCCATATGGCAGCCCCAAATGTAACCAACCACTTTCTCCCTGTATGGGGGAAGCCTGTGCTCTTTGGAGAGTTTGATGAAGAGAACTAGTTATTAAGGTGGGTTCTTAATCATAGGGACCATTCAATAATGTCTAGGTTTACATTAAGTCTAAACTAGGGTCTGGCTGGTTAGCTCACTTGGGAGTGTATGGTGCTGATGACACCAGAGTCAAGTGTTTGGATCCCCATACCAGCCAGCTGCTAAAAAAAAAAAAAAGACTAAACTAAGCATTTTAATTGCAGTAATAAAGAAGGGGACATAAAATAGCATTAGGCTGGCAACTAAGGTCATGAATCCTGGCTAATCACATTTGGACTTCATGTTTAAAGAGAGAAGGAGAATTTCTAGAGCAGAAATTATGAAATTTATAATCAGCTTTAGCGTAGGCTGAGATTTCCTTGGATGTCAATAATTATGTAGTAAGAAGAGTTCTGTCATTCCACAGTTTTGTTACACTACTGTTCACTTATCTGTCTTGAACATTAATGTAAAGCACTTGGTTGGGAAGGGACAGTTCATTGACTGAGGGAAAGAATTGTGTCTGTCGGGTACACTTCTTTATCTCCAAACATAGTAAATGCTCAATAAATACTTGTCGGATAGAGGTCCACTCTGGCACTTAAATAAATTATATTTGAGTATTACTATAGTGCCTACCATGCACAATCAGATGCCAATAATTCCTATAATTACTTGTGTATGGGGGAAGCATTTAAAAAAATTTTTTTTATAACTCCTATGCATTAAAAAAAAAACCTACCATGCACAATCAGATGCCAATAATTCCTATAATTACTTGTGTATGGGGGAAGCATTTTAAAAAATTTTTTTTTATAACTCCTATGCATTAAAAAAAAAAATTTTTTTTTTTTAAAAGATGACCGATAAGGGGATCTTAACCCTTGACTTGGTGTTGTCAGCACCACGCTCACCCAGTGAGCAAACCGGCCATCCCTATATGGGATCCAAACCCGTAGCCTTGGTGTTATCAGCACCGCACTCTCCCAAGTGAGCCATGGGCCAGCCTGCATTAAAAATTTTTTAAACTCCTGTTTGAGTCTCTTAAATTCAACTGCCTTGACCTGGGTAAAGGTGGTAGACTTCCTGGTGTCATTCCTAGCTTTATGGAATAGACCTGAACCTTCTCCCTAGTTGCAATTTCCAGCTAATTCTCATCCTCTTTTGCTCAACAATGGCCCATGGTT